TTAACCGATTACGAATTTTTTTGTTTTAATCAAAATAATTCTCAGAAGCAGACATTCTATACTTCCGTATCAGAAACAGACATTCTATACTTCCGTGTTTGGATGTGGAGTTGACTCGGCCCACGAAATGTTCGGACGTAGGAAAATATTCACTGAGTTGCTAATTCTAGTATGTATTCCTAAATGCAGTAGTAGTATGAAGCAGTTCAAGTGCAGCCCGTCCATCCATCTACCTTTTCACTTTTGTTTGCAATCATCTATATGATCTGGTGTGCTGTTGTGTGCAGTGTTGTGCGCTTGGTTGCTCACATCTGCAAACAACGTATTTGATGCGATTGATGAACACTACTGGCCTGTGTCCATTCACTGCATCCTACAATAAATCCGTTCATTTGCAATTCATTTCGCATCGACATTCGTTGTGTGTGTGTATGTATCGTTTCGTGCAAATTTGACCGCAACCGAAATTTGACCACTTTTTGATTGTTGTGTTATTATTTGTAATCGTTGTGAGGAGTAAGGAAACACATGAAATTGAATGCAGATTTTGAATCACGAATTCGTCGATGGAAACAAGTTCGATTCGGACCATCTAGTACTCACGTGTTCGCGTCACGTCGTTCATCGAGTATCGAGCCTCGACTCACAACCGCTGCATCCGCAATTCCCTCATCACTACGTTCTGATCTACAGCTTCATCCCAGAACAAGTCCCCTTCCACGTCGTGTTATGGGTTTGTTTGTGTCTCTTCACTTATTACATTTTCCACTCTTTCATCCTTTTACTCTCAGTTCATTCCAATTCTTTGAATTCATCATGATCTGAGCTAGTTCGTTAAGTAACTCCGATTCGTTGACTTCGGATGGATTCACGCCTTTTTTTGGCATCTAAACTTCGAGGTGTTTCACCGATCTTAAAAGGCTTTCAGCAAACGGAATGCCTCGTCGTCCTTTACCCGACTTACCTACACCAATTTCAAGTGTCAACAGCAAATCATCAAATAGCAAAGATGATGCGGTTAGCTTTACTCAATAATATTATAGTCATGTTCAAGACTGCATTGATTGTTGAGTGAATGCACTGAAAAATAATCTCTCTTCGTGCACACTGATAACACAATTTCAGTTAGACAAGCGGGTTGCTGAAATAAGGAGTCAGTCAGGACGAATTGTTATAATGAATGTAGTCTATGAAGCAAGCAAGGATAATTTGCGAAGGATTGGCGAATTAGGTTCTGGAACGTGTGGGGTTGTTTATAAGGCTAGATTCGATCTGACTGGTACCGTTATGGCCGTCAAGGTGAGTGTAACATCGAAACCGTTTATTCGTTCTGCCTTCTAGTCTGCCGTTCTGCCGATTTTTTATTTATTTTCCTAATGAATAAACATCGATTTTAATGCATTATCGCGTCAATTTGTCCCAAACTCTTTAAAAAAATTGTTTTACCAAAAATTTTTCTCCCACGCAGTTCTGTCAAAGAATAATATTTTTTGCTTCAAGTGTGTATGAGATGTAGAATTCCCAACATTTCTAATAAATTCCTAACAAACATAAAATTCCTAATGTTGATACGCATCGTTTCACTTTTTCTCTTCACTGTAGTATTAATAATGATATCGTTATTATTAATTTCATTAGGTTGAATTATTGCTGAAACACCTATTCAGATGCTTTGTATAAAATTGAATGAAGTATGAATGAAATTCAGCTAATTTTTTACTGATCGCGAAATATTCGAATCAATCGCTGAGAATTTTCATGATTAAGGATATAACTGCTCGGTGATTTCGATAGAACTTTGTGATTGCGTATTCATTTAGTGCTTTATAGAACATGATGATGGAATTAAAAATTGTGTTTGTGGTTTGGGAAATATCTGATTTGCTGTAGAATTTTGTGACTGAGTGATGTTTGCATCAGAAGTGATGTAAATCGATTGCAACTTCAAGCCATTGCAATCAAAATTTCAGCAAATGGCCATAACATCGGTGGCAGAAGAGAGGCGTCGAGTGGTTATGGACTTGGATGTTGTCTTGAAGTCACACGATTGTCCACATATTGTACGCTGCTATGGATGTTTCATCAGTGATGTGAGTTATTTGTCCCGTATCTTAATGGTGTGTATCTACGATCCTATCAAAATGCCTTTCAACAGTCGATTTGAATTATCATATTTGCATCAAATTCTTCTTTGGTATCATTACTAACTCATTGATTATTACGTTGTGTCGATGAGACGATTATTACTTAATTCATTATAACTTTATGTTTTATTGCGATAATCAGTATTCCTGTTATCGAATGCGAAAGTGGTATCACATTGTTGATTTTAATCTTTTGATCAGATCTTCGCATTTTACGAGGATGTTGGTTTCAGTATGAAGTGCACATATGTATGGAACTGATGGCAACTTGTTTGGATAAACTATCGAAACGTATCAAAAACGGTTTTCCTGAAGATATTCTGGGTAAGATGGCTGTATCTATTATAAAAGCGCTCGACTATCTGAAAGTTCATCAGGTTAGCGCATAAAATATTCATTTGATTCACTCTTTTAAAAACATCATTAGGAAATATTCTGTTATTCATTTCCTCTCTTCCCTTCAATGAAATTATTACAAGTAGCATTCTGAATTGTTGATTGATTCGAAAGAATATTATTGTTTAATTAGGCAAAGAAATGAAAATGAATTGAGTTCAATGTTTAAGAATGTGATTCATCGCGATGTGAAACCGTCGAATATTTTAATCGATTTAAATGGTACTGTAAAACTGTGTGATTTTGGTATTGCGGGTCGTTTAGTAGATTCTCTTGTGCGTACGCATACAGCTGGATGTTCTGCATACATGTCGGTTGGTTACTTCGTCTGAATCACATCCTAATTTTCTTCGGCATTACTGCTATTATTAAATGATAATTTTTATTAGCTGAACTGCGCCACATAACTGTATCGTTATTTTGGGATGCATTATTGAAACTTTTTGAATCGATTGGAAACGTTTCCAATCTTACGTTCTATCCTGAATTTGTTCAAAAATATCCAATATCAATGAGAAATAAAACTGGTTGACAACCTTGTAACGTTCCGAATTCCAAGCAATAATTTTTTGTAATATTTTAAATTGTGTCCTAATTATTTGTTCGTTTAAGTTAATAATTCGTTTTCATTCATTTCTTTTGCAATAAATGTTGATGATGGAAATGCTCGAAAAGCTCACCGTTTCACTCGATTCATAATTTCAACACTACTGAGTTTTTTGAATTATGAAAAGCTTGCGAATGTTGTGGTGCATTGTTATCATCAGCAAACATAAAAAATTGCAGCCAGAACGTCTTGATCCAACGCATGATTATGACATAAGGGCCGATATATGGAGTCTTGGTATATCTTTAGTTGAGCTAGCAAGATGTCAAAATCCGTATAATGGTTGTAGCACTGAATTTGAAATGCTCACTCGAATTGTCTCTGATCCAGCGCCGCGATTGGATCCGAGTGAAGGATTTTCAACTGAATTCTGCGATTTCGTTGCGTTATGCCTCACGAAAGATGTTGAATTACGACCTAAATATAAACAATTAATGGTAAAATATCCGTTCACTCACTCATTAATGGTTTTATAATTTCGTCTTAGAACCATCACCATTTCGATCACCAGCCAATCGTTTCTTATAAAATGATGCGTATTCTGTTCGTCCATCCTCGAATTAATCTGATCCATTCAAGAAGTGTTGAAAAAATAAAGAAAAAACTCATTTGTTAGTGGAATAAACTCGTTGATGTTTTACAGCAACATGAATGGCTCGTACGTTATGAGAATGCAGATGTTGATGTGGCTGGATGGTATAAAGCGGTTATTCAATCTGCACCTAATTCGTAGTCAAACATCAAATCTTGGTATTATTACTGCTATCTGATTTCTGTTATCTTACTCAACTTTTTTCTGCATCCACAAAATTCGCTCCAACAATGTATCTTCACCCAATTCATCTTCGCCGTTCTAATTTCATTGCTTTTCAAGCATTTCTGTTTCAATGGTTTTGATTTCACCCAAATATAATATTTTCTCGATTCGCAAACCGCTAATAATCACAGAGCGTTGCAAAAGTAATCTTATTACATCTCATAATCATCGTTTCATTGAGCTTATCATTAATTTATGCATCTGTTCATGCGCTTAAAATTTATTCGAATGCATCTCATCAGAATTTTATAAGGTGAATTCATTCAGACCCATCTTGTAAATATCTCGAACATAATCATAGGCGTCCATTACCAAACTTTCAGAAATAACAATAAGATTTGCAAAGTAATTCGATCATTCCGAAGAGTTTTTTATGAACTTTAATATTGCTCCGCATCGCTTAGTGTTCATTTTACTTTCCATCCACAGTTCTGTTCACCCAAATTGATGCATTCTGCTGAACTGCTTGTTTCTTTGTTCATTTCGGTTGAAGTTAAGTGTTGTAAAAGAAGGATGTGATCAAGCAGTGCAGAATAGTTTTGCAAGGAGTCCAATTATTTCCCGTTCAATGGCTGTTGTCTTCCATTTTGTTCTTTTATTTGTTTGAAATGATCTGTTTCTTTGAATTTTCATCTTTCATAATTTCTGTAATGAAAATCGAATCGTTAAGTGCGAGTATGTGATTCAAATTCTCTGCAAGAGCTTTCAAAGCCTTAGAATACTCTACCTTGTTGATCTTTCTGCATTAACCGTACAATTTTATAAACACCAAAAAACTTATTCAGTCGCAAGGAATATTTATTCATTAAGTACTCTCCATATCCACAATCTTCCATATATGAAAATGAAGTTATCGTTGATTCATTTCAACTGTTGTTTCGTGCATAATTCAAACAGATCACTGTTTCATTTGAATTATTATCGTTGACTATTATTCACTGTTTCATGTTGATCATATTTGTATATTATCTGACATGACGATATGGCAACTCCATTCTGAATGGCTGTCTTGTAAAATTGAACCAATTTTCCTCTTTTAACTTTATTGTTTTTTGATTCTTCATCTGTTTTTCTCTTCTAGTCATTTAAATGGGAATTTCTTTGTATATANTATATAACTTTCTTCCAAGAAATTTGAAGAACATTTTTGCAATTGGTTTTTTATATTTCGTTGATGTGGCAATAAATCATGTTCCACAGGAATTCATATTTTTATCATCATTATTGTTATCATTACTGTACTTATCATTATATTATCACGCATACTCTTATTCAGATTTGGCTCGTTTCTTTGGAATCGTATAAATTTTTTGCATTTCTAAAGGAAGATCGCAGAAATGACATAAATTTGGACTAGTTTCTATGCTTATTATGATTATTGTATAGATTACACTCACCGTTATTACTTTCATCTTCTGTTTAATTTCGTTTAATCAGCGATTAAAATAACTCATACCGAGCAAATGCCTTCCTTTCATCATCAAATATCACGTTCCTCATTCATCTCAACGCAGACATCGTCCTTTCAACATACGCAACAATATTCGACAGCTTTAGAAATAAACTGATCTCTCGAATTTTATCGTAAATATTCATTTGGTGATCAGATTCCAGCGCCATATAGTTTCGAACCTCTAATTTCTGAATGTAAATACCAAAAGGTAAATCAAAATGTCAATACCAATTGAAATAGATGAGTCGAAACAACTTCTTTGTTCTGATTTAAATCAACGTTTTCGTTCACTCAATGGGGTGACCGTTGATGGCATATTCTTCCGATTACGTCCGTTATTTTTGAGCGTAATTAAACTTTTACAATAANCAATAAGACGGGACGTCGAGGTCGTTTTTTTTAATAATTAAATTATCACTAGTACATGGATAAGATGAAAATGTTCATCAAAATTATTGTAATGTTTCGAGTTTTTTTACGGTTTCGTGTGATATTATGCATAATGTTGTGGTCCTTCCGAATTCAGTTCGTTCGTATACATAACAGTGCTCACTTTTTTACAATTTGTTCATGTTCACTGTTGATGTATACGTACGTTTTTCGACTTATTCGAACGTTATATTTGCTTCACTAAAATTTGTTGCATTGTTTGTTTTTACTGTGTGCGTTGTTATAGGAGATAAAATATCACTATTCCATTTCACAGTTTAGTCGACTGTTCTATTATGATTTCGTGAATCATTTTTTGTATCATGAATGATCAATATGTGTCATTAATAGTTGAGCGTACAGTTTGGATGTCATATTAATCATGGTTTTTGCAGTGTACTTTGTAAGATAGCAATGATATTTGCACTGCTTTAACGAAAACCGTTGAATGAATTCTACACTGAAGTTAAACTTGGTCGATTTTT